ATAGTTACTTCGGCAATGTTTCAGTAATAACACAACGACCGAAGATGTGTATGTCTAAGGCTGTTAAAACAAACACAATTATTTGTAATAGATGTCAAATCTATAACCATGATATTATTTTGTTACACCCTATGATAGGTCCAACGATGATGTTTGATTCTGACAGAGTGAACCGAAACAGAACACACATCAATGACGAAGGCCTTCTCATCAACTCCACACATCCTAAGTTTAGAAGAGAGAAGGCCGTTGACACCAGTGGGAAGATGTTGAAGACCTACCATGGTACCAGCAGCACCTCCCCACTGCCCTCTAGCGGCCTGGTGTACTGGGAGGTGGAGGCGGATGTGATGCTGGGCAGGCCACTGGGTGATCGGGAACTTGTGTTGGAGATGGGCCTGTGTGGTGAGGAGGTCATGGACAATTCCTTCTATGTCGGCAACCAGCTCAATTCATCAAGTCTCTTTCTTACAGCTCATGAGCATTTGGGCGTGATTCAGTCTGTTGTCAGTATCAACACACATCCTGACACGCATGAGCATTTGGGTGTGATTGAGACTGTTGTCAGTATCAACACACATCCTCACACGCGAATTGACACAGGCATCGACAATAAGGCTTGGACGATGTTCAAGGTACGATATGGAATTCTTGTCAATGTCGATGAAAGGAAAGTAACATACATTGACAATGAATGTCAACGCCGTTTGGGATATGGCAGCCTTGGTAATGTGAAGAAGGGTTCTACAATATGGCCACTGTTTGGGGTTTATGGTAATGCCATGATAGTTGCATTGAAGTTGGTGTGTGGCCAGAAGGTGCAGATGAACGATTGGAAGAAGGATTTGCTTGTGGAATAAAATTCATTTGAAGGCACACCAAATTAAACCCCAGAGACAATGCTCCAATAATTTGAAACATTTGAGAAAATGTATGCTGGAAAGTTATCAAGCATGTCCATTGAATCTGCATGCCGATAATGTAACCATGTAGCCAATGGAAAAACGCCATTGATAACGTTCTTAGTGTGGGATTCAAAATTCATGCATGAATTCTTTAGACTAGTCTTGGTAACATATCTGGCTGTTTCCATTCTCAACAGGATGTACAGCAGATTCAAAGGGAAAGGACATGTCAACATATTCTTCTGTTGTACGCCTACGCACTTAAAGCTTGAAATCTTATATCACACACTGAATAGGGACAATGTTGGTTTTTCCTTTGTGTACCTGTGGATTATATGTAGGTCCTCACGTTTTAGCTATCATAGTGAAAATGCTTTGGAACCTCAAATAAATCTATTTGCTTAGTGTATACAGAAATATTATTTAGTAAGTGAGTCAAGATTGTTTTCGGTTCATTGAGGTGTGAATCGAAAAACCGGTGTGCAAACTGTATTATTCCATGAAAACATGCTTTATCTACAATAGCTTAACCAAAAACAGTTGTATATATCAAAGCAGACAAAAATGACGAGATTGAGAAACATTCCAGGTGTAGGAATACATACTGTGTCGCGATTTTTTAATTTAAGCCCATAACTTGACACGCCTACAAAGTCAGTAGCCAATTAACGGATAGTAAGATCAAAACAATGTTCGTCAAGGACGTGTCAATCAAGAGGCGAGAAGCAGTGTAACGCTCAGACTGTAACGATCCAGAACAAATATGTCCGGGAGAAGGCGGCTGTTTCAAATGACATGGTCAGTCACTGCCAGATTCAAACATTAGTTCCCTGTGAACGGGAAGACATTTGGAAAAATGCGGGTAAGAAATGAAACCCGAAGACATGTAAGTTGTGGAACCGAGGCATGCGGGAACAAAACCGGCGAACGAGCCTGCACGTTTGCTGTTTGCTTTCTTCTCTGCCTTCGGTCTCAAAGGGTTGTTTGGACAATGAATATGTATACACATGAGCAGAAAGGGAATTCCCTCGATTGTGATATTGGAATTCCCCGACATTCTGCAGTAATAAAAGAAGTCCGCTTCGGTGGGCGTGGTTAATTTTTTTTACATTCATTGGGAAATAAATGCAATAACACGTGGCCAATTCAGCTAATCAGAATGCAGGAAGTTCACTAAACACAAGAAAATTTAATTATATTTTTACTAATTGCATTTTAGATGTTTGTGACAGAATATAGCAAATATATAACATCAAACCAACATGAAAACCAGTCTTGATTATCCGCCCAAACAGATTCCATTGGGTGTGAAAAGCAAAATAGCGGTAAATATTTCGGTTTATATCACTGAAGATCGTGATAAGTTTAAGCATGCTCTGCCCAACTGGATGCAACCGCAAATTGCATAAAAAGTAATTTTTATTGCCTGATGCTGCACAACAGTACTCCGGCCATGCGATGGCGGTCTGTAAACAAGCCAGACAATCAAGTGACACAACAGTACTCCGGCCATGCGATGGCGGTCTGTAAACAAGCCAGACAATCAAGTGACACAACAGTACTCCGGCCATGCGATGGCGGTCTGTAAACAAGCCAGACAATCAAATGACACAACAGTACTCCGGCCATGCGATGGCGGTCTGTAAACAAACCAGACAGGAAAGTGACACAACAGTACTCCGGCCATGCGATGGCGGTCTGTAAACAAGCCAGACAATCAAGTGACACAACAGTACTCCGGCCATGCGATGGCGGTCTGTAAACAAGCCAGACAATCAAGTGACACAACAGTACTCCGGCCATGCGATGGCGGTCTGTAAACAAGCCAGACAATCAAGTGACACAACAGTACTCCGGCCATGCGATGGCGGTCTGTAAACAAGCCAGACAATCAAATGACACAACAGTACTCCGGCCATGCGATGGCGGTCTGTAAACAAGCCAGACGATCAAGTGACACAACAGTACTCCGGCCATGCGATGGCGGTCTGTAAACAAGCCAGACAATCAAATGACACAACAGTACTCCGGCCATGCGATGGCGGTCTGTAAACAAGCCAGACGATCAAGTGACACAACAGTACTCCGGCCATGCGATGGCGGTCTGTAAACAAGCCAGACAGGAAAGTGACACAACAGTACTCCGGCCATGCGATGGCGGTCTGTAAACAAGCCAGCATACCTAAAACAATTGTCAACTCGTTGCGTAATGCTTCACATACATTTCCCCATATTATATAATTTTCAAATGCAATTTAAAGCACATCGGGACGTGCGGAATTATACGGTATGATTGAACACATTTAACTGTGTCTTGGGTATATTTTTAGATGCAAGACATATGCAAAATCAAAAATTATTCCTGTGGGATTCTTTGATGAAGAACGTGAAGTCATACGCGCATTCTGATTGGTTTGTCGTATTTTCGCACATGACATTCATCGATAGGGGGACGAGTCTTCTTGAAGGTTACGGAAAGGGGCGAGTGGTGACAAATGACCCCGACGGTCATTCGTTACCATTCGCCCCTTTCCGTAACATGCTTGTCCCGGAACAACACGAATGCCCCGACGGCATGGGATGTTGTCCAAATCAAACACTGGTAAAATTGTCAGGGACAAAATCCTATATTTACAGGCCGCCCTGATATTGCAGGAATATTGTAGACTGCAGTAAAAAACAAATCGCAATGTTTTAGATTTATTTAAGACAGACACCTATGAACATATCTGAATTTACGTTTTCTTTGAGTTTCGACAAATGAAGGTTTATATCGCATAATAATATATGTCAATTGTTTACCAAAAGAAATCATATGAGTGTTATTGGGACAAAACTGCAACTTCATACCAAATTTTATTATACATGTATCTTATTCACAAACAGAAGCATGAAAAGGGTTTTTTTGGTACTGAAGTAAACATGGGTTATAAAACGGATATAAAACTGCTTGCATTAGAAAGTATACACCACTGTTTGATGGCGGCTAAAACTGAAATAAATAACAAATGGTTATTTCATGGTATTTTCTTTTATGTGGAAATAATAAGAAATAGGAATGATAAAGGTTTCAACGGCTGTTTTCAGCCTCGTAATGTTTTGATAACGTTTGTTTTGTCTGTTTGTTGTTTAACGCCGCACTCAGCAATAATCCAGCTATATGACGCGGTCTGTAAATAATCGAGTCTGGACCAGACAATCCAGTGATTGACATCATGAGCATCGATCCACGCAATTGGGATACGATGACATGCATCCACCAAGTAATCGAGTCTGACTACCCGATCCTGTTTGTCGCCTCTCAAGACAAGCATGGCCGCCTTTTACTGCAAACCTGGGTTGCTGAAGACCTATTCTACCCCGAATCTTCACGGGTAGGTGTTTTCTGACATTTGCCACTTAATATAAGAGGATATTGGAAATGAACATAGTGTGCCATGTGGTCTATATAGACTTTATACGCGTTGATATATTCGGATTTTACAACCCGTCGCTTACAACCGCCATAAATGCGATCATTCGCGACCAACTCGTGTTATTCCGGGACAAGCCGAATAGCCACTCGTTCCCCGCTCATGGCCCTTTTTGCGACCGGGTTCCGTCTCAGCGCAAACGGGCATACCTAAAACAATTGTCAACTCGTTGCGTAATGCTTCACTTACATTTCCCTATATATTATATATATTTCAGATGCAATTAAAAGCACATCGGGACGTGCGGAATTATGCGGTATGATTGAACACCTTTAACTGTGTTTTTGGTATATTTTTAGATGCAAGACATATGTATAATAAAAAAATACTTCTGAGGGATTCTTTTTCGAAGAACTTGAAATCATACTCGCATTCTGATTGGTTTGTCGTATTTTCGCACATTACATTCATCGATAGGGGGACGAGTCTTGTTGCAGGTTACGGAAAGGGGCGAGTGGTGACGAATGAAATGCGATCTCTAATGTAAGGGATATTTGATATGGTTGAAGTACGCCCGTGACGTAACAAGTACTCTCACCAAAAAAGTGATTTATTTTGTACGCGTTGACACATTTGGATTTTACAACGCTTCGTTTACTACAGCCGTTTACACGATCTCTATAATAAGGGGGGTAACTCTAATAATCTAGCGCACTGTCAACAAGGAGGCTGTCATGTCGCCAGATTGTTGGCTGCTGTGTGGGTAGACATCACTGGAGCTGCTGTACAGGTAATAGGAATAACATTATCCTGGTGTATGTCGTACAAACATCATACTCTGTACTAGCTGAGATACTGTCAGAGAAGATATATGTATTTACATATTTCGTTAGACTTGATATTCTTTTCATTAAAAACCCTTTGTCCCACTTTCGCTTTCGTTTCCGAGAAGTGGAGTGTCCACTTAATGCTGGCTTACGAAGTAGCTGTACTTCACACTTTCAATGCCTGTCATTTAAGGGAGAAAAGTATAATGATAATAAAAATCAGTGTTTGTGCATAAACAGCGTCATACTTTGTTTAAAGTGACAACCCACTCCAAAAAATAAATTTAACCCCATGCGACTTTACTGACACCACAGACTTTACGTTTAATTTAATGATGGGAAAATGGTTCCAATTTAATTTACCACTGTAAAATCTACAGGTAATATAGCTCTGCACTGAATCTACAATATATTTAGATCCTAAATAACGCCATAATTTCCTAACAGGGACAAAACATTAAATGGCGACTATGCTTGGTGCCCATTGTGAGCGTAAGCCTAGACATTATAGCGGCATTGGAAACTGAGTTGAGTGATTGATTGAGTTCACCGTACTTTTTGTTTTCAATGTTCGTCCCAATGGCAGGTGACACTTAAAATGAGCTTATCACATCGTACCAATGTTAGGATTCTAACCTTGGCAATCAGTATGACGAGCCAACGCGCTTAATACTTGGTTACCCCACTGCCCTCTAATATTGAGACATTTATCGCTCTTGTTTATTGCTCTATGTAATACGGACGATGATGTATTGCTAGTTTGATCTAGAACATAAATTCGAATGATTTGATTCAAAGGGGACTGCAAACTGACCCGAGCATTATGTTCAATTAACTTCCTTGACAGTGTACTATAAATGCGATATGGCAAAGATATAAAGTCGCAGCATTTGAAGTAGGGTATTTGTGGTAAAACGTCATTTCTCTCTTCAGAATGGACCCATTCCCCATGTGTGTGGTGTGCAGCACGTCCTTCAGGTATAGAGGACCACAGCCACACCTGCTTCCATGTCTACATCCTGTATGTGAGAACTGTCTCAAATCAACAGTAATAACAACTCTCATATGCTCCATCTGCGTGAAAAGTCATGACAAAAATGACAAGAGCTTCAGACTACTTCCTGTTGATGAAATTATCTCAGCGGAGGTCCTCCACCTGACCTCCAAACACCGACCAGCAGAGTTCCTGTGTACCAATGATGAGGATGGGAACCAGGCTGTGTGTTGGTGTGGGGAGTGTGGGGACTTCCTCTGTGAACACTGCCAGGTGTCACACTCAAAGATAAAAGCAACCAAGAACCACACGGTTCAATGGATGTCTGATATATCCAAGACAACCAAAAGATCACAGCCTTTGTGTGAGAAACACAACCAACGAATGGACATCTACGACAATGATTGTGACTGTTTCATTTGTCCACGATGTTTTTACAATGACCATTCCAGTCACACAACCAAGAAAGCTGATGAACTTCTGAAGAAGGAAGAAGATAATCTGAATGAGAACTTGGAGTCTTTATCAACAAAACAGGAAGAAATAGTTCGATCGTCAGACAAGGTAAATGAGCAAACTGAGAGTATTGGAAGGAAAGCTACATCCCTTCGAGAAACTGTTCAGCACACCTTTGCACAATTAAAAGCTTTGATAGATCAGCGAGAGAAGGAGGTTCTTGTGGAGTTGGATCAGCTTCTGGACTCCATGCGGAACATCAATAACAATCGACGTCCAGTCCTGAAGTCATCAGAGACAAGCTGCAAGACAGTTCGTGACTACATCAACAAGACACTCCTCTATGCCTCACCTTGCAATATCCACAACATGACGGATTCTATCGCACAAGCCCATGAGATTTGTATGAAGGCTGATGTCCCCACTGTTGACAAATACGAACCATGTGTCGTCTTCTCAAAGCAAGGTTTACAAGATTTGAAATCCTCATTATCATCCTTTGGGTGTTTCATGACTCCAATTACTCAGACAGAAGTACTGACAGACTTATCATCAATTAAATCAGGTAACTTTGCTTTTGATGTCCATTTTCAAACAGAGCCTGTGAAGGCCATTTCTGGTGTCCCCCACCGTGATTTTGCTGGAATATTGCTAAAAGAGGCGTAAAACCATACTCACTCACTCACTCAAACAGAGTCAAGTGAGTAAATAAAGAATGATAACTATTGATGCCTTCACATCTTTTGTTGTCAATACTTTTTATTTATTTAAATTAGTTATGGTGTCTTTAGATGCCGTATACGGTGTCATATTAGGTTAGCAGGAAAATATTGGGCTCGCCTCACGCATCGCCCAACATTTTCCTGCTAACCTAATATGACACCGTATACGGCAACAAAAAAATAATTTGTACAAGAATTTCCATGTGAAATATGTGAGATGGGTGTTGGAAAATTCAAAATGGCTGTTACTAACGGTATACGGTCTCATATTAGGTCAGTAACAACCATCATGGATTTCATGGCTCATGTGGGGTCAGTAGTTCTGCTCTCTGATTGTCAATCTCACTTTGAGGCATAATAATTAAAGTTAATGGATAATCATATTATCAAAGTATTATATAAGTTATGAACGGATTACACTTTCCATTCCACCCATAGGCGTGTTTTGAAATAACGATAAGATAACGTGTCCACACCCCAGTAACGTTCTCGTACTTGATGACAGCAACATGTTGATGTTCTTACAGCCGTTCAGATGAAGCTGGAAGCACTTATTGAAGACCTTCAGACACTGAACAGAGACGCTGAAACGGTAACGTTTGGAATCGTGTTGAGATGATATTTTGGGGAAGTTTGCTGGTATGACAAAAAGCTAAAGAAATTTAAGTATAAGTAGTTTTAAGTGATATTATCACCAAAAAGGAATTGACAGAAACAGTTCTCACTGAATTATCCTTATCACGAACCATAATAACGATGACCGCAAAAGAACAGTAAAAATATTCTGGTCTTCAAAGAACTTTATGTTTTTCAGCAAATCAGTGCACTGAAAAAGGTGGCCTCAAAGAATGATCAAAGGATAAAGACCTTGCAGGAAGATGTGATCAGACATCAGAGAATAGCAATTCAGTTGCTCCCCAAAGGTAAGTAACATAGAATACATACTATTCAGAAAAGAAGACACACTTACAATCATTGATATATTTGCTTTGAATCTCCTGTTTTGTCACCTCTGTCAAAACACAATAGGCAATGAGGAAATGTCCTAAGGGGGTATCATAGCCATGTAGAATGGAATTAGTCAGTTCAGGTTACAAAGCTGCCTTTCCCTAACCAACCCCTCCATTCCTCCTGGCACTGTTGAAATTACATCTTAAAAGTTACTATGTCTATATGCTTGTTCTTACCAGATGGTTGTTTCAGAAATGCTGCTACTCAGTCTGAATCATTTCGGACACAAATATTGCATGTACTAACTTCACCATTTAACTAACAAATATAAAATTTTGTTGTTTTGCATATTATCTTTTTCTGGTGTCTTCACAAAGCGTAAGGTATCAAGTTCTTTCAGGGTACGACAAAGACACCTGCCTACACGTGCTCGGGAAAGTGAACGATGCACGACATGTTGTCGTATGTAAGTATATTTATAATCCAGGAGCCACTTGCGCAAAGCGATCTCAGCTCTACGATGATCGTAACTCCCAAACTCTAACATGGATTTAAGATAGTCGTAGCTCTAAGATTGCTTAGGAAGTGCAAGTGGACCCAGGACAACAACCCAGGGAATTGTGTAACATGCTATGTTTTCGATGTGTTGTAAATAAACGATCGACATGCTGTATCAGTCACAGCGCAAACATACATAAGTATTGTTACAGTGTAGATATAGATGTGTCGTACTTTGACCTCTCTTTTCAAACTCGTATTGACAGATTGTCATGAAACAATGATGTGTTACTAATTGTAACATCTGATAAAAAGTGTCAAAATTGGCGTACTCTTCAATGCATAAACACATTTATATTATATGAAATCATGATAATCAAAATGTGAAAAACCCACATATCTTCTTCTAACATGCAGGATCTGAGACAGGATCTGAGACATAATGTCACTAGTTTATCTAGTTTTGATACAGGCCAAAAGATTAAGTTCAGTTCCGAAAGAGTAAATACTCCACTCCACTGCCCTCTGTCGGTGCCTGGTATACTGGGAGGGGGAGGCAGATGTCAAACTGGACACGATTCTATGGAATACTAGAAGGGACATTCGATTCTGAGTGAAGTCAGGCTAGAGGGCCATGTCATCAGATATGAATGATAACACCATTACCGAATATATGTATGGCTAAAGCTGTTAAAATAACCACAATTATATGTAATAGATGTCAAAACTATAAACATTGTGTTTTGTCTCATCCTATGATAGGTCCAACGATGATGTTTGATTCTGACAGAGTGAACCGAAACGCAGCGTACATTAATGACAAAGGCCTTCTCATCAACTCCGGACATCCCCAATTGGGAGGAATGAAGGCAGTTGACACCAGTGGGAAGATGTTGAAGAATTACAGTGGCACCAGCAGCACCTCCCCAATGCCCTCTAGCGGCCTGGTGTACTGGGAGGTGGAGGCGGATGCGGAGCTGGACAAGCCACTGGGTGGAGGGAGCCTTGTGTTGGAGGTGGGCGTGTGTGGAGAGGAGGTCATCGACAATAAAAACTTTATTGGCGGCCAATATAATTCCTGCAGTCTCGACATAGCACATAAATCTGAGAATAATGTGAAATGGTATGTATCTATGGATGGAAGGGATATAGCAAGTTCAGACAACGTGTTTGCGAATAAAGGTGGAACATCTGTGACATTGAAGTACGGGGTTCTTGTTGATACTGATAGGATGGCGGCATCTTTCGTGGACACCAACAACAGAGGCACATTGGGATCCGGATGTTTTGGTACAGGCAGATTACAACATGGTGCTGGACATAACAAAACCATGTGGCCTGTATTTGGGATTTATGGCAGTCGAAAGAGAGTTGAAATGCAACTCGTGAGTGGACAGGATGTACAGATGGAAGACTGGAAGAAGCAGCTGCTTGAAAAGGCCAGACTGAGATTGTCCAAGTAATATATTGGGCAGAATGGAATTGACGCTGCAGATACTGTTACTTTACCTCCCGTGTTCAACGCAGATAGACGTCATGGAAATGTGATTTAATGATTTAATGTAAATCATGTGTATGGAAAGACAGAACACAGAGCTCAACTTGCTGCTGGAATGTGGCCTGTATTTGGGGTCTATGGCAGTCCAAAGCGAGTTGAAATGGAACTCGTGACCGGACAGGATGTTTCACCTTCATTTGGAAATTTGATTGACTGTTAAACATGTGTGTGGAAAGATCGACATGACATTATGCAACACTTCTTTCATGAATATGTTTGGTTTTGGTGTAAATATTTGATATTTTATGTATGTTCTACTCAAGGACTTCTTTGATATCGACTTGTGTACACCATTGTTAATACTTTATGGGTATAAAGATGTCATTTGTTGTATATTATTAGAGAGTAAATAGAAACTTGGTGACTGGGAATACTTTGAAAATATATTTTGATATGCATGTAAAAGTAGATGATGTTGATGTTGATGTGGATGTGGTTGAGGATGCCCCCATTTACTGTTAACTGTCATGTCTTGCACGTGCATGGGCTTAACCACTGGTTGCGTTCAGGCGCATGTTTTTCGGGTAGCTCTTCTTATCACTTTCAATACTTGTACTTTTCATAGTTCTTTATAGGCATTGTCCAATTTTCGATTGCACGATTCAGACTATATCATGATCATGTGTTTATGAATCACAGCAAATAGTGTGTAAATCTCTATCACATGGTGACGATACCACTTGTTCGCGAAAAGGTGAGCGTATCCTATATGGATCAAACAACATCAGAGCAAGAGTTGATGATGCTCTTTGAAGTTGTGAGATTGAGATTTTTAGATTTTGAGTTATAAAAAATCACAACGTCAATATTTCACGCTATATAATTTTGACCATACATTATTTGTTGTTAGTGTGTCATTGGAGTAAAATGGAAAAAAGTACATACTTTTTAGTTATCTTTCAATTTTATACCTCTGTGCGAGTGATTGAAGACAAAGAGGCGACTAACGGGATCGGGTGGTCAGGCTCGCTGACTTGGTCCTATGACCCGTGGAGATCCGGGGTAGAATAGGTCTTCAGCAACCCATGCTTGCCGTAAAAGGCGACTATGCTTGTCGTAAAAGGCGACTAACGGGATTGGGTGGTCAGACTCGCTGACTTGGTTGATGTATGTCATCGATCCAAATTGCGTTGATCGATGCTCATGATGTCAATCACTGGATTGGCGGTCCAGACTCGATTTTTTACAGACCGCCGTCATATAGCTGGAATATTGCTGAGTGCGGCGTTAAACAACAAACAAACAAACAAACAAACAAACAACAAGATGATAAAGGATGACGTTTCAAATCACACCCTTCTGTCCTTGGATCCTTTTGACCGTCGATTGCTTCATGTATCGATTTCTGTTGAAACTCCAGGTAGTGACTGATCTGACAATAACAAGAAAACGAGTTTATTTGGCTTTATGCCGCTTTAGCTCCAATACAATGCATGTCAAGCACAGGACTGTTCTGTGTCTGTATCTTTGTCTGGTAGAGTTGTATCAGACGCCGCTCGGATTTCTTTTGTAATAGAATCGTGTTTGGCCCAAGGTTGAGTTTCTCCACTCCCGAAACAAAGAAAGATCAATGCGGCCAGGGAAAACGACCCAAATCCAGTGAAAAACGCGTATTGCCATTCCTGTCGTGTTCCCTGCAGTACAAAAGGTACATGCATTTTGACAAGTCTATGACGGATATAAAACTACGGGCAAAAGAAAGAACACACCCATGTTTGATGGTGGTTAAAAATGAAACAAACAACAAATGGTTATTCCATGGTATTTTTGTTATATGGAAATAATAAGAAACAGGAATAATAACGACTGTTTTCAGGCTCGTAACGTTTCAATAACGTTTGTTTTGTTTGTTTGTTGTTGAACGCCGCTATCTGCGGTCTGAAAATAATGGACCAGACAATCAAGTGATTGATATCATGAGCATCGATGCACGCAATTTGGATACGATGTCAGCATCAACCAGCGAGCCTGACCACTCGATCACGTTAGTCGTCATATGATGACGACCTTTACACAATCGCCTCTTGAAAAGACAATTTAGTGACAAAACCCTTTCCATATCATAAGACATCTCTGCTAAGAGAAGTACCATAGTACTCTTCCGCCAAAACCATCAGCGTGTAATTATGAATCATTATCAAATAGGGGGCGATGATCATGATATCAATCACTGGATTGTCTGGTCCAGACTCGATTATTTACAGACCGCCGTCATATAGCTGGAATATTGCTGAGTGCGGCGTTAAACAACAAACCAAACTGAACCAAAAAGAAAATAGGGGGCGGTCGGGTAGCCTAGTGGTTAAAGCGTTCGCTCGTCACAACGAAGACCCGGGTTCGATTCCCGACATGGGTACAATGTGTGAAGCCCATTACTGGTGTCCCCGCCGTGATATTGCTGGAATATTGCTAAAAGCGGCGTAAAACCATACTCACTCACCCCATTATCAAATAGTGATGACACCAGGTGTTCGCGTGAAGAAGGTCGGGACTACATTTACAATAGGGTTATGGTGCTGTCATGTCAAACCAGGAAACTCAGGGATTCGAACCCATGACAAGAGGATCCTGGGAGCAAAGGCACCTTTTTGAATAGACACAGCTCACCGCGGCCCCTGGATCATATATATTAAACATGCATGAATTGTTTGTTAAGTTGTCAAACTTACGTTCACGGTCATGGACGCCACGATGTAGGGAGCAATGATCCCAGCACTGCTACTGATGCAGTTCCCCAGTCCACTGAGGGTCCCAGAGAACTGCAGTGCAATGTCGGCATAGTTTACAAGATAGCCTCCAAAAGCGAATCCTACCAGTCCAACAGCTCCACACAGCAAGGCTATAGCAACCGGAAGTGGTAGACAGTTCGCCATAGCCAAAACCAGCATCGACACAGCCGGCAGCATACACCCTTAAGAGGAAAACATGGAGGTAACTTAAGTTATACAGCAAACTTTTTCTCTTTCAAGAGAAAACATGCTGTTGTAATGATGATGTTAAAGAGAATTTGGAAAAATACAACTTGAAGGCTTTTGGGAGTTTTCCCCTCAGTGGATATAGGTGCTTAGATCGGTGATTACCAAAACGTCGCATTGAGAGAACAAATAGTTGAAATCTATGAATCAATCCTGTGTTCATTGCTGAAGTATTGTAATCAAATGAATAATTACTTGTTTTACATGTACATGCAATAACTTCCTTGATGGCCTGTGGCCCGTTTAACGTGCCGCAATCCGCTGTGCAGAGTTGCGTCCCTGAGATTGTGGTTCGAATTCCGGTTCGCCCCTATGATGTTTCTAGGTTTGTCAGCACCATACCCGTGTACGTCGGTTTCACCGAAGTGGTAAACGTCTGAGACCTGCATCACTTTGGGCTTTCCTTACACATTAACCTGACACGCCGTGATAAAACTGGAATACTGTTAAAAGCGGAGTTAAACCCAACTCACTCTGATGGTCGGGGTAGGGGCTACATGTGTCTGTTATTCAGACCATGGTCGTAACATTACTTCAATACCTCTAATATGGTAATGCACCCCACCTAGTCTAGACAGTGATTGTGCAGTTGCTTTCCCACATATCTGCTACATCATTCCGTTCGGGTCATTTTCCTATACGGCAATGGCTTTGTTGGTTGGTTAATTGTTTGACGCCGCACTCAGCAATATTCCAGCTATATGACAGCGGTCTGTATAAAGACTAGTGATTGACATCATGAACATCGATTCACGCAATTGGGATCGATGACATGCATCAAACAAGACAACGAGTCTGACCACCCGATCCCGTTAGTCGCCTTTTACGACAAGCATCGTCGCCTTTTACGGCAAGCATGGGTTGCTGAAGACCTATTCTACCCCGGATCTCCATGGGTCATAGGACCACGGAATAGCGATGGGAACCTACCTAGCGTATTGAGCAACTTCCTAGTGGCACCAACACTGAGAAGTCTCCTGGACACCAGACAGTCGGACACCCAGCTGGTCAGCATCACGACACCCCAGAACACCAGGTACGGCAGCATGGAGTATATGCCGTTCTGCAACATTATCATCTTGTACAGTTCACGTTCAGTGTGAGTGCAGAGCTTGTATTGTTTGTTGCGAGAAGCTGAAAGCGTGCTGATCCGGCGAATATCAATGGTAAAATATTCCAATTTTATTAGCTTTAACTCTATTTTTACACCTATTTGGCATCTGTGAGATGTTAAATAATTAATAATCGCAGTGCTGTACATTACACCAATGAGTTGAAGTTCATATGATCTATTTATTTAAACAGGCAGATATGTAATCTATGTATTTTAATAGACTTTGTAGAATTTGTAAAAACTATTGACGATGAATATCATTTTAATGTGTATGTCCAAACTAACACCAATACTTATCAGAAAGGTGTATCATCGAATTATAGGAATAAATGTAACAAACACTGGGTTGTAAATTCTGTGCCTTAACGTATCCTTTACAGACCAAATAGGCCGTATGGAGCTTGATTCTGGTACTTTCAAGAATATTCATTATGATAGTATTTCTTCACATTACTCAGTAGCCAAAGGAATCACAATTTGATGTACAGAGTCGCGTCCCCTTGGTGTTCCTGGATCCTATATAACCTTGGTTTGTCAACACACCACTTTTCCATGCCAGGACACCCACATTAAGCTGACATGCCGTCATACAATTCTCAATTCTTAAAATAGAAACATTAACTGAACCAACCAAATCCCCAAATGAATCTACGTAAATTGAACATTAACTATAATACAGCTAATGACAGGGTTTGGCATTATCTTCTCAATGTCAACTTTTGACATAGCTGACGAAAACGAAGCAAGAAAATGTTTGTTGGTGTAACTATTCTCACCGACTTTATGTCAAACATCATGACCTCCTCCATGTATGTTGGGAGCTGCGTCATCAACATGTATACTCCATAGTTGATAAGTGTGTGGGTCGTGATCAGGGCGATGGTGGCTCGTGACGTCATCATCTCTAGCCACGGTGTCGGGGGTTTCTAGACAAAAGATATCTATATACGTTCAAACGCCATCACAACTTTCTGACCTGTTGAAAGGTATAGGAACGCTTATTCAGCCTTTGGTATATATAAGACAATATGTGACCAGCCATGAGATATGGGACCTTATGGATGAAAATCACATTTCTCATTATATCTTGAAACTACAGTGCCTTAGGAACACAATGACGTAATTCACAAGCTTCAATTCGAATCTTTCCATTTTCTGACTAATAAATGTTTATGTAATAATTGCAGTTTGCAGATATAATGTCAGATTAAGTGAACACTGACATGTATTTTGAAATGTTTTGAAATACTGTTTCTATTACATGACGAACTAACGGGAGAAAAACAAGATATGTTTGTACAGCCGCACACATGGCGATTTATACGGAAGTAAGTGACGTAAAACGTCTTTCTTGATGACGTCATAATACAGTTGTATCCTAACTCCCATCAGGTCTCTTTTCTCCTAGTGGGTCGCATATATAGAATACTAAACTCGCTCCCGTGTGATACCAATTTTATGAAACGAGGGAATAGTTCTGGTATTTGACGAGCGAAACTATTCACGAGTTTCATATAATTGGTATTACACGGGAGCGAGTTTTTAGAATTTCACTGTCGTGTATGAATAGGCAGACACCTACACGACCCATAACGTAATTCACTTGAGTTTAACAGAATAATACTTCAAACACGTCCAACGCTGACACATATTAATTTAATACCATACAACGGCCCACCTTTAGAATTCAGGCGTCCGTTCCACAAAGTTATCGTAGCGCTAAGGTTATCGTAACTCACATACTTTAACAGAAACAACTGTCGTTGCGCTACTATACGATCGCCTTGTGGAACGGGACCTGCGCCACAAAGTTTACAATCACGTCGCAATACTCTATGACCAAAACACAACTACGGTATCCGTATCAAGTCCAGTGCCATCGAAAAACCATATCTTGTTAGTTTCAATTTTAGCCACCATCAAATATGGGTGTATATTTTCTTTGGCCCGGCAGTTTATGCATGTGTGCGTTACTGATTTATCTTCAAATATATTTAAGGAATTGCTTGGAATTGGTTTTCTTTTTTTCTTACCCTTATACTTATATTTCGAAGTTTTATGTTAAGTTCGATGTAGTCCCTCTCCTTGTTTGTTATCAAGGTCGTGGCTCGAGGCGTGTCCCTCACCGTCAGACCCCACGCCAGACACCACAGAAAGCCAGCTCCTCCTGTAGGGTCACACACGGAACGGGATAAGTAGGGCTGTTTATGGCCAATTGAGCTAAACATTATTTCAGCTGAATAAGGGTGGGTCAGTTGAATATTTGAAGAAACTTTGATGTGATGCAGGTTTTAGGAGATTATACATCTCATGAAACTGGTATGGAGTAGACATTAGCATTATAATCAGGCGAATATGGGATTCAACCCCACGATTATGACCCTGACACGCCCAATGGACGTAACTCTGCAGATATGTCTCAGATACCCAATCCTTGAGTGAGTGAGTGAGTTGGTTCTAACGCCACTTTGAACAGTATGACAATTATATCACGGCATGTCACCTTTATGGGGGAGAAAAGCCCGAAGTAATGCAGGTCTCAGACGTTTACCACTTCGGTGAAACCCACGAGCACGGGTATGGAGATGACAAACCTAGAAACATAATTGGGGCGAACCGGGATTCGAACCCACGATCCTAGGTTTCTGGCGTGCCCAAGGGACACAACTGTGCGCTGACGACTGGGCCACCCGTGGCACTCCTTGTCCTATGAGCTGATTTATGTCAGTATAGGAAGTTTGCAATATTTGACCTGGAGCTGCAGTAACATGAGGTCGGAAATAGTGGGTACTTTGAGTGTTCATGTCACACTATGTTTCCGACATGAGTGTCGTTAACATAGTATAACATGAACACTCAAACAGTGTTCTTTTTATTACCGAATATGTCTGCATACAGAGACGAGTTTTAGCGTTTACCTGTTAGGACAGCAAGTCCACAATTTGTCGAATGCCGTCTTCAGCTATGACGTCGTTCCGACCTTACACCACGACAAGATTCGAAAATGCCGTCCGGATGACGGAAACAATACACTGTTGTCTCGTGACGTGATATGACCCTAGGGCACATATGATTTTATGAACCCCGATGTTTGCTCTCGTAGGTAATAAATGTACATTTGGCCCGTCATAAAGACGCAGAGCATGGGTTGGGACATAAAAATACTACATCCTGCCACATCTCAACAATGATGCTAAACAGAGAGATGAAACAGATGGAGAGTAGTTTTATAGAAAATATCACCTTGGCTTTATCACACTGATTCAAACGATGAAGATGAGTGAGTGAGTATGGTTTTGCGCCGCTTTTAGCAATATCTTCGGCGTGACGAACGAACGCTTTAACCGCTAGGCTACCCGACCGCCCCCGATGAAGATGAACAACAGTTACCTAGTACATGGTACATATGTATATCTCAGTTTGAAAACGTCTTGTGAAAAAATACGTATAAACAACTAACGACTAACAACAGTTGTGTGGAACATATTACCTAGGACATAGTACACGAACTTAGGCTAGGTCGTAACACTGCCAAAGACGAGGACTAACAACAGTTGTGTTGAACATATTACCCAGGACACAGTACAAGGAATTAAGCTAGGTCGATACAATATCATGGGTACAATGTGTGAAGCCCATTTCTGGTGTCCCCCACCGTGATATTGCTGGAATATTGCTTAAAGCGGCGAAAAACCATACTCACTCACTCACTCACTCACTTACAATATCAATGGTGATGACTAACAACAGTTGTGTTGAACATATTACCTAGGAAACAGTACAAGGAATTAAGCTAGGCCGTTACAATATCAATGGTGATGACTAACAACAGTTGTGTTGAACATATTACCTAGGACATAGTACAAGGACGGCCATCCACCAGCAGGTCCGTATTTACACATGTATCCTCCGAACGGAAAGATGATGGCATTGCCCATCAGTCCTCCTGCAATGATAAGATAAGAAATAATAAACCTGTATCGCATTCCAGCTTTATACAGCTGCTCCGAGGCGCTTACAAAAAGTGTTGGAAAATACAGGTGAAAAGTCAAAAAGTTTTAAGTTGACGTCGAAAGTAATCACGAAAGTCTACTTGTTTCAGTTCGCTAAGGATATAGTTCCTGGGCTTTGGACTGGCAACAGAGAAAGAGTGTTCAATTTTGTTTTGTAGTATGGTATGACGAGTCGATGGTCTTGTTCTGATCTTAATGCTCTTGATAGTTGCTATATTTGAATCAGTTCTTTGAGGTATCCTGGCAAGCAGTCAACAGCAAGAGGTGAAGAGATCAGAGACAGGATCTTGAGCTGAATTATACAAGATAGTTCGAGGTGAAACAGTTGGCTGTGTCCATGGGCCTCGTCACACAAAGCCATCTGAGCTGTCGAGGACGAGGTCTTTTCTACTTTTGTCACAAACACTGACTAGGATAGATAATATCCGAAAACTCTTGACAAAAATAATTATGTTTCAGACTTTTGAAAAAAATGTCTTCAACAGAGGTTAGACTCATAGTTTTAAAATTAAACAAATGCTGGTTTTGTAGTTTTAGCTGAAAAATATCTCAATACAAAATCCTGCTTCTCTACAACTCCCTCAGAATATCAGATGGTCGGTCCCTAACCAGAAACGAGAACTAAGATCTGATTTCAAGAATATTTCGTGCCTGCATTCTTTGGAGGGAAAATTCAACCAACAAAATAGCGTTGACGTAAACGGCTTTGCTTAACCCACGATAACTGACATGCTGCTGACCAAGGATAGTAATGGGGAGTATCAAGGATACGAACCCACTACCAGCGAATCCAAATACAACAGAGACAAAGCTTTGCACAGCGAATGTTGACACGTTAGGCCACGGGGCTACTCGTGCCCCTAATAAAGGGCGAGGAGTCGCAAAGTAACGTCCCCACTAGGGTACAGAAGGTATTCTGATTCGCGGTGGTTCCGGGTACAACGATGTGGATTAGATGTCTGAATTTCCCATAACAGATTTCGCAGGCTTTGATTGTTTGTTTTACCAGAAAGAGAAATGCCCAACATCCGGTTCCACTCTGCAGCTGGTGCCCAGCGGGCCCAGAAGACCGGAAGTGAGGGGTACAACACTGCCTTAAACGAGAAAGTTTCCAACATCGTATACAACATGAAGGCATAAGTACTCCTCATATACAACTGTCCGTAATTCATTAACAAATTCGTCCATGATATCTATATATTAACGTAGGTGATACCTATACAAATAGCAATAAACGTGTTACGGTTGAGGGATGTAATATGGTTGAGCGTTGTGTTACGGTTGAGGGATGTAATACGGTTGAGCGTTGTGTTACGGTTGAGTGTTGTGTTACAGCTGAGGGATTTGTACGTCTGAGAGTAATGTTACGACTGAAAGGTGTTTTACGGTAGAGGGGTTTTTAACGCTGAGAGGTATGTTACGGATGAGAGGTACCTTGCGGTTGAGAGGTACGTTACGGTTGAGAGGTATGTTACGATTGTGAGGTATGTTATGTCTGGGAGGTACGTTGCGGTTGAGAGGTATGTAATGGCTGGGAGGTATGTAACGGTTGAGAGGTACGTTTCGGTTGAGAGGTACGTTGCGGTTGAGAGGTATGCTACGGTTGAGAGGTATGTTACGGTTGGGAGGTATGTTCCTACTCAGAGTTATTTTATAGATTAGCGTCATGTTACGACTGAGAGTTATGCTCAAGATGAGAGGTATGTTACTACTCCGAGTTATTTTAGACCTGAGAGGTTTGTTACGACTGAGTGGTTTGTTAGGGGTGAGAGAAATGTTACGGCTGAGAGTTATATTAGGGCTGAGAGTTAGAAGTTACGACTGAAAGCTATGTTACGACTGAGAGTTATGTTGGGGCTGAGAGTTCTGTGACGGCAGAGAGTTATTCTATTGCTGAGAGGTTTGTTACGTCTGATGGGTTTGTTACGACTGAGACTGATGTTACGACTGAGAGGATTGTAACGGCTGAGGGGTATGTTTCGGCTGAGAGGTTTCTTACAGCCAAGAGTTGTTACGGCTGAGAGGTTTGTCACGGCTGAGAGTTGTTACGACTAGGAGGTATGTTACGACTGAGAGGAATGTAACGGCTGAGAGGCATGTTACGACAGAGAGGTTTGTTACAGCTGAGAGTTGTTACGGCTGAGAGGTATGTTATGGCTGAGAGGAAAGTCACGATGGAAAGTTATTTGGGCTGAGAGGTTTGTTAGGGCTGAGAGTTATGTTACGGCTCAGAGTTATGCTACGACTGAAAGTTACGTTAGGGCTGAGAGTTATGGTACGACTGAGTGTTATTTTAGGGCTGAGAGTTATTTAATGGCTGAGAGCTACGTTAGGACTGAGTGTTATGTTACGACTGAGAGTTACTTTAGGGCTGAGAGGTGTGTTAGGGCTGAGAGTTATTTTAGGGCTGAGAGTTATGTTAGGGCTGAGAGTTATGTTAGGGCTGAGAGGTTTGTTAGAGCTGAGAGATTTGTTAGAGCTGAGAGGTGTGTTAGGGCTGAGAGGTTTGTTACAGCTGAGAGGTGTGTTACGGCTGAGAGTTATGTTAGAGCTGAGAGGTTTGTTAGAGCTGAGAGGTGTGTTACGGCACATCTGTGCGGCAGAGTACTAGTTATCACCCCTCTGTGAAATAGACATTGAGGACTGACCTCCGTCATTTTCCTACATCATCAAGGAGTATGTTATTGAGTATATGAGTTACACCCGTCCAAGCTCCACAATCACTTTGCGAAACGGGACACTGTTGACGACATATCGACTATGCCACGTTCAACAGATTTAGGGAGCTCCATCTTACAGGTTTTCAATCACGTCTTTCCTATAAAGTGCGGATGTGGTCAAAAGTGATTTTTTTGTAAGTGATCTCTTAAAGGTACCGTATGTCGGTTAGAATACTGAAAAATAAAATGTGCGTTGATTCCTTTCCCATATTGAACAATTTATTTCATAGTTTGTAATTTCAGAAAAAAACGATAACAAAGCAGGGTGGAGCATTTGATTCAGAATCTTAATTTGTGAAAAGAACACCACTTGACCCCGATTAATCTGACAGACAACACATCGGGTGTGTATCGAATCATGTCAGAATGCGATGAATATTAGTACAAAGTCAAGCATTTTCATTTAACGGGTAATTATCGAGATTCAGCAAAAAAGCGTAAGTAGGAATCAACCAAATTGTTAGATACTCACGATAGACACTCCCGTCATGCAACGAACAGCTAGCAGAACATATGGATGCGCATGAGCAGCCATAGGTGTACAGATGCTTGTTACTGATGCGGCGATGAGGGAGATGAGGATGACCCTGTGTGCCCCGAATCTCTCCGCCAACCACCCAGAAGGGAACTGAAGGGCCATGTACCCCCAAAACACAGCGCCCAGTAGCAGACCTTGAACTTGCTTGCTCCACTCAAAACTACCTGTCTTGAAGAGGCAACACGTCATGGATGATTGGTGAGGAATGTGGTTTTACGTCTCTAGCAATATTCCAGCAACTTAAAAGGGCGGATGGACACTATGAATGGGCTTCATCATTGGGCTGCACCATTGTTGGGAACAGAACCCGGACCTTCGGAGTGACAAGCAAACGCTTAAACCTCTAGGCCACCCTATCATCTGTCATGGATGATGACGAATGTATATTTAGAGGCTCTGGACATTTGCAGTACAAGGTTGATTTAAGCGTCTCAGAGATTTCTATGATCAAGAATAAAAGTGAATATCAATGAAGTAGTTCAGCCAATTACACGGTAAAATATCAAGGCATCAATGGTACTCGAAATTGGCACCAGACTGTTAAACATACAAGTAGTGCCTTTTTAATTGTAGATTCCCTTTGGCAACTCCTGATTTACTACTTTCAGCATTGATGACTTATGTATGTTGAATTATGTCCCTACAGGTATATGTATAGTCGTTGTCAACATTAATCGTCAACATTAAACTAACGGGATCCGGACTAACGGATCAAGCTATTTTTGATTACGCAGCTTGAATAATCACTTTCTTGTTAATTTTGTCAAAGGAATATAGAAATAATTGCATTTATATGTATGCAAAAAGAAACAGTAGATACATATACAAACCGAAATATCAGAGCTCTTGGACCTCTCTTGAGAATAACATGTGTCCTCCATGATGGGCGCTGTGGTGTTGATTGTCATTGGTCGTCCCTGTTTGATTCCAACCTGATCTATTGATGAATTGATGTCATAGGACAATGTCGTGATGTTGATGAGGGGGTCATGGTTTACCATGCACACGATGGTGATGCTGAGGCTGCTGCGGAAGCTGTCGTGGAGTACGAAGGCTATGAACCACATGCCTGCCACAACATAGCGCCATGGGATGCAACACGTCACTGAAACAATGGACATACTGAACAATAGCAACACATCACTGAAACAATGGACATACTCAGCAATAGCAACACGTCACTGAAACAAGGGACACACTCAGCAATGGCAACACATCACTGAAACAAGGGACACACTGAACAATAGCAACACATCACTGAAACAAGGGACACACTGAACAATAGCAACACATCACTGAAACAAGGGACACACTGAACAATAGCAACACATCACTGAAACAAGGGACACACTGAACAATAGCAACACATCACTGAAACAAGGGACACACTGAACAATAGCAACACATCACTGAAACAAGGGACACACTGAACAATCGCAACACATCACTAAAACAAGGGACACACTGAACAATAGCAACACATCACTGAAACAAGGGACACACTGAACAATAGCAACACATCACTGAAACAATGGACATACTGAACAATAGCAACACATCACTGAAACAATGGACATACTGAACAATAGCAACACATCACTGAAACAATGGACATACTGAACAATAGCAACACATCACTGACACAAGGGACATACTGAACAATAGCAACACATCACTGAAACAAGGGACACACTGAACAATAGCAACACATCACTGAAACAAGGGACACACTGAACAATAGCAACACATCACTGACACAAGGGACATACTGAACAATAGCAACACATCACTGACACAAGGGACACACTGAACAATAGCAACACGTCACTGACACAAGGGGCATACTGAACAATAGCAACACATCACTGAAACAATGGACGTACTGAACAATAGCAACACGTCTCTAAATCAATGGACATACTTAATAATAGCAACACGTCACTGAAACAATGCACGCACTGAACAATAGCAACAAGCCTCTAAAACAATGTATATACTGAACAATAGCAACACATCACTGAAACAATGGGCGTACTGAACAATAGCAACACGTCTCTAAAACAGTGGACATACTAAATAATAGCAACACGTCACTGAAACAATGTATATACTGAACAATAGCAACACGTCTCTAAATCAATGGACATACTTAATAATAGCAACACGTCACTGAAACAATGGACGTACTGAACAATAGCAACATGTCTCTAAAACAATGGACATACTTAATAATAGCAACACGTCACTGAAACAATGGACGTACTGAACAATAGCAACATGTCTCTAAAACAATGGAATGACTTTCAAAAACTTAGCGTTGTGACATCTGCTGGATTTCACGGTGCCATATAACATGAACACAAAATCAGTATATATTGTGAAGGCGGGGTAGGATTAACGTTCCGTTGAAGACTGTTTCACTTATATGGCCATGTGTGTGTTTGTGTGTGTGTTGTGTGTGTGTGTGTGTGTGTGTGTGTGTGTGTGTGTGTGTGTGTGTGTGTGTGTGTGTGTGTCTGTTTGTGTGTGTATGTGTGTGTATGCGTCTGTTTGTGTGTGTGTGTGTATGTGTGTGTATATGTGTGTGAGTGTTTGTGTGCGTCTGTGTGTATGCGTCTGTTTGTGTGTGTGTGTGTCTGTTTGTGTGCGTCTGTGTGTGAGTGTTTATGTGCGTGTGTGTGTGTGCGTGTCTGTGTGTGTCTCTATGTGAGTGTGTGTGTGTGTATGTGTGGCTGTGTGTGAGTGTTTGTGTGCGTGTGTGTGTCTGTATGTGTAGCTGTGTGTGCGCGTGTCTGTATGTGAGTGTGTGTGCGTGTCTGTGTGTCTGTATGTGAGTGTGTGTGCGTGTCTGTGTGTCTTTATGTGAGTGTGTGTGCGTGTCTGTGTGTCTGTATGTGAGTGTATGTGTGTGTGTGTGTGTGTGTGTGTGTGGCTGTGTGTGTATGTGTCGTGGTTTGTGTTTGTTTAATTGTACCACATACCATGCCGCAGTTCAACATGGATACCTTACTCAGACATTCAAACACTCAGACCTAACTCCAAGCCGATCAGTCCTAATTTTTTTATCCCCTTTATGCTACGAATCCTATTACAAATATCTACATTTGACATGTATGCATAAAACCACGTCTGGGCTAATCATATTTACCAAATACAATACCGTTCGCAAATGTATGTAGGTAAAGAGGAGTTACATTAATAAGACGAAATTCAAATTATTAATCAATACAAAGTAGTTTATTAAATTTAGTGACGCGTGCGTGTAATGTGTGTTATGTTTGTGTTGTGTTGTATGTATTGTGTGTGTGTGGGTGTGTGTGTGTTGTATGTGTGTGTTATGTGTGAGCGTTGTGGTGTGTGTGTGTTATGTTTGTGTTGTATGTATGTTTGTGTTGTGAGTAATACTATCTATTGTGTGTGTTTGTGCATTGTGTATGTGCGTTGCGTGTGCGTTCTGTGTGCGTGCGTGCGTGCGTGCGTGCGTGCGTGCGTGCGTGTGTGTGTGTGTGTGTGGTTACATTGCACATGATGTATATAGACCCGGCAGACAGCCTCGCACAGATATACTCATACATAGCAAAACTCTATATACATGTAACGAAACCCAATTGCCAATTACCGTGAGTTTAAATCCAATACAAAACACAAATGAAACATAGAACCCGTTTATCTTCCTATATAGCCACAAAAAATATACATTAGCATATATATTATGTCAGGTGGTTAATGGAAGACCTCGGGCTTCTGCAAATGATAATGCCCTAAAAAATACCGTTACCCTTATATTATCATTATTAATTTCATGTCATTAGTACACATAAGTACACATTCGATATATATGTAGATTGCAATTTTAAGTTCCAAATTCTATTTAGCATGGTTGAATCTGCAGGTGACAGCTCTACATTGAAAACACGGTCGGTTGAGGGCGGACCGTCTATATACACGATATCGTGCAAATATGCCGTGCAATATACACGACTGGAAAACTCCCTTCTCCGCCGTGAGTTGCGAACGCTGATTGGTCTATTAATTTCCTACACAACAAACCTGGTTCCCGGTCTCAGTTGCGCTACGCTACGCTACATTGTATATTACTCCCCAAAATGTAGGCCCTAATCATTTAGTCGTATGGATTCCTGGTTACCATTGGTCCCCGACAACCAATCAAAAGAAGCGATTAATGGATTGTTGGTCAGGCTCGGTGACTTGGTTGATTGCCAGTCCGCATGCCCTGACGTCGTGGATAATTGGTCATATTAACTATTAGATTGAGTTTCAGACTCGATTAACAGACTGTCGTCATATCGCTGAAAATATTGTTCAGTGCGGATTGACGTGAAGTAAATATCACATAAGTCTCAGTTGGTACTTCACGTATGTTCATAAAAAAATGATAGAACGACGCAGATTGCTCTCAACCATTTTGTGTTCCAAAAATAGACAAATGCAAATAGAAACAAAACCCCACCAGATATTGCATTCATCACCACTCGCCCCTTTCCGTAACCTGCAAGAAGACTCGTCACCCTATCGATGAATGTTATGCCCGTTTGCGCTAAGACGGAACCCGGTCGCAAAAATGGCCACGAGAGGGGCACGAGTCGCTATTCGGCTTGTCCTGGAATAACACGAGTTGGTCACGAATGCAGATATTGAAGTTTAACAATTTAATCTTGAGTTGGATATAACCATCAAAGTGAGCTATCTCAAATGGCGATAATATTCTGTTTATAATAATTTGATAAAAAAAGCGACAAACCCTTTTGAAAATCTTAGATCTCTGCCAAATCAGAAGATATTGTACGATTCCGAGTACAGTAAAAATAAACACATGTTTATAAAATATATGCCCTATAAAGATAGCGATGTACAAACAGAAAGTATGGATCATATCGGTGCCTCTGACCATTACATTTGGAGGGTATATTACGTGGCCCGGGGTGGTCCGGTCGTCTAAGGCGCCGCAATTAGCTGTTCACATTTGCGTCGCCTGGACACCCAGAAACATATGAGTGTTGGTTCGAATCCCGGTTCGCCCCGATTATGTTTCGAGGTTTGTCAGCACCATACCCTTTCTCATGGGTTTCACCAAAGTGGTACATATTTGAGGCCTGCATCACTTCGGGCTTTCTTTCCACACGCCATAACAAGCTGTTAAATAACTGGAATACAGTTGAAAGCGGCGTTAAACGTACTGATGAATGTTTGACAAAGTGTCGCATTACAACAGGCGGCTGATACATGCCAGGCCATGTGTTTGATTGACAGAATATATAATAGTAGGTCATAAGGTAGAGAAGCAATTGAAACAACACAAACAACATTGGAACAACACCAGGCAAACCACCACACACTGACGGCTCTGATCGCCATAACAGATCGCTTTCGTTCAACCACGGACCTGCATAACGGTTATACAAGTCCGTGGTTCTACCAAATGAACCGCGGTGGATGGCGCTTCTAAAAACGACACGCACATAAATGTTGTAGGGACGATATGCCTAAACGTATGTCATGATGACATATCATTTATCACAGCAAACACAACACATACTGACGAGTGTGCTCGCCATGCTGGATCGATTCCATTCTGTCATCTTACTATCACTCAAAGCTACTTTAACCATACATCAACTATCATGTCTAGAAATGTATGGCACATTTACATGTATACAGGGATGGGTGTATTAAACAGGGCAGTGAAACGGTGTGGGTAAAGACGTTACGTAAACAATTGTCTACTTACGTTTCATGGCCTGGCTATGCTTACCCGGTGTGGTAGCAAATGAATGTCACATCTCGCGTCGGGAACACCGAGAACGAGAACAAAGAGCGAGATTAGGTCAGTGTTCCGCATTCGTGGTTTAATATTAATAGCACACCGCTGATAAGGCGAACGAATGGCAACTCTTGTTTATTGTAAAATATTCGTATTTCGAGGACATGAGCCGGTTAGTAGGGTAAATTTAATTATTAATAACTTCCTTTGTAGTTGGGCTGTTTCCCCCGCGTGTGCAGCTGGTGACCTTTGACCTGAGTTGAATAAGGTACAATAAGGGAGCCGGTAATAATAGTAACGACAAAACCCTTTCCATAATCAAAGGAATAAGGAAACAATTAATAAGGAAGGGGAAGGGTTTCATTCACAATCTGACTGAAAGAAAGCCGCGAAGGTTTATTTTGCAGATTTCTTAATGGAGCGTGTATGTATGAGTGTGTGTATGTCTGCGTGCGTGCGTGCGTGTGTGTGCGTGTGTGTGTGTGTGTATTGTATGTGTGTTATGTGTTTGTTGTGTGTGAGCGTTGTGGTGTGTGCGTGTTATGTTTGCGTTGTGTGTATGTGTGTGTGTCTGCGTGCGTGTGTATGTAAACATTTTCGTTACAAAATTTAGTATACATGCAGATACATACATCATTTAATTCCTTTTCAATTTAAAATCTATATCTTGATAAATACATAATAATTGTAACAAAATTGTGCATATAAATAATGCGCCAAATTCATACCGAATGCATGCTAACATCGGTGTGCACGCGATTAAATTCCGAGCTTTTTTACAACATTCAAGGCCTCAGTAATGCTTTAGATAAGTTTTATGGTAATCATCTGGAAGACATTTCAGTGCTATATTCCAGATATAACGCATCCGCGACAAAAATGATGTCAAATCCCTATTTTGACTTCCACCATATGTTCCCGTGTTTTTTTCAGATGAACAATTGACTTGCCTTTGTATGTGTTTATGACGGGTGCCACCGGTGGGGCATGATGCGCTTACCTTTTCGCGAACACATACCCATGATATAGTCGGAATTATACAATCAGAAGAGATTTCTTATGTGTATGGAAAGGGTTTTGTCGCTTCCTCCTATCAGGAAGAACCACACCGAGATACCTTAACACTGCGAGCATCCAGAAAGACATGTGTATTGACATATACATTCACTCAGAAAGATTCAATATATGCACATTGCCATGTTGAGCGTGTGTTTGTGAGTTTGAAATGTGTGTTGCTCTGCTTTAAAGCCCGCTTCCCGTTCACGAAGCCATTTCCCCCTTGTATTAAGTCTTGTATTATGAAGGCTCCAACATTTCAATAAATGGTTTTAATTATCCGTTTAGTTATGTTATATGTCAGTGTTGAGTGCTACTCAGTAAACGCTACAAAGTCACACAGGTAAATCCATGTGAAAATCTGCGCCATCTCATAAAAATCAGATCTACCGCGAATCCTACAACATCGAGACATTCCGAGTGACAGTTACGGGGCTGTACGACTGATTCCGAATGCTAGACACGGGCATGCTAGACATCCGAAACGGAAGATACTTTCCAGAGTGGAAGTACGGCCATACACTCTCGGCTACCAATTAAACATTTCCATTTCTTCTGTTCAGTTTTCAAATTTTTAATTGAGAAAACTGTCAACATATTTTATTTCGGAATGGAAGTCGCCATTTGGAAACTAGTACCGAAACACTCGAGAAATCTTATTATACAATAAGTAAATGTAAGAAGGCGAATTTATGTCGATATTTTTACACTGCCTTTAAGAAAGTACGTGCATATAACAAATGTACTGGGTTATATTTATTTCAAAACCGTTCATTTCCTTTCTCCTCATTTAGTTATTGTTTGTTGGCATAAGACTTTCGTGATTTATCGGAGTACACAATGAAGCGATAGTAAAATACTCAATTGTTTGTTTGTTGTTTAACGCGCATTCAGCAATATTCCAGCCATATGACGGCGAGTCTGAACCAGATAATCCAGTGATTCACATAATGAGCATCGAGCTAAGCAACTGGGATACTATCACATGCATCAACCGAGTCAGCGAGCCTGACCAACCGATCCTGTTAGTCACCTTACGACAAGCAAAGTCGCCTTTAACAGCAAGCATGGGTTTCTAAAGACCTATTCCATCCCGGATCTTCACAGGGGAGACAAACATGGGTTGCTGAAGACCTATTCAGGAGGAGGAGGAGGACAAGCTGCTCTAAGTTTCTTTGAATATTGAAAGTGTGCCAGTGGTGTTGTAATGGCTTTTTCAAGACTTAAAAGTTTTTTTAAAAATAAACATTTAAAGTGCTCCAATGAATCGAATTCGGTCGTGCAAAGTCATTGAGAATTGTCTCGCAATCCCAATTAGAAATTCACAGCAGATAGAGAAGGAAAGAATATTTGTTGAATAGCATTCTCTTTGACCAAATGTGTGTTTTGGTATACAACTTCAACCATGAAAGCACATACACACGCACATCATTAAGTAAATGCAAAAATTTATATCTTAGTTTGGTTTGGTCGAGTGGATGAAGCATCTGCCTGGGGCGGAAGGTCGGTTTTTCGATCGCAAACTAAGTTAAAAGATGGTACTTGTTGTTTCCCTGCCCGCCGCTCTGCCAGGAGTCAAGATAATGGGGTGGGGAATACATGTTAAACTGCGGTATGATACCCGGAAAGCACCCGGCAAGCACTATAAAACCGGCACTAGTTCGGACTGGTATTTTTTTTTTTTTTTATTTTTTTTTTTTTTACCGCCTCAAAATAATTGTGTATGAATATGAACTGATATCTTGAGAATAAATCAATAACTAGAAATAGTATTATTGCAGTTAATATCATATTATAGAGCATGACCTTCTTTTGTCGCATACAGAACACGAAAATATCATTGCATGGCCGAACGATACGATGTTAAGATCGTGTCACAAAGTATCGAGATACTTCGGTGAATGTCACAGCAGTATCAATATCCGTTTCAAACGAATATGATGATGATGAAACAAATAGCTTCAGATATTGGACCCATATGACGACTTTGTGGGACACATTAATGTCACCACAGACACAATACCATTTAGACGTGTTGTCGAATGATCCCTTGGTCACTGACAATGTATATTTGTTTGTGTGTTGTTTAACGCCGCACTCCCCAATATTCCAGCTATAAGACGCCGGTCTGTAAATAATCGAGTCTGGACCAGACAAGCCACTGATTGATATTATGGGCATCGATATACCCAGTTAGGATATGACATGCATTGACCAAGACCATCCGATCCCGTTAGTCTTGACACGACAGCCATGGGTTGCTGAAGACCTATTGAAACCCGGATCTTTACGGGTCGACAACTAACACTGAGTCTCGCAGAACACTAGAGATCGCGACGTATGTACGTTAACCCTCATATTACAGCTGGTAAAACAGGTATGCATAGAACGCATAACTAAACACAATTTACAGAAACAGAAGCTGTTGCACTATCAACATAAATACATGTGTGAACAGTAACATGTGTGATGGTCGCATGACTAACATGGCAGGTTCAGGTCCGTTAACCCTCATATAATATCAGTCGGTTCATCCTACTAAAAAGTCATGCAGACATGTTTTGATCGATTGGTAACAGCTGGTAAAACAGGTATGAATAGAACGCATAACACAATTTTTGATTTCGTTATCAATAAAATTACATCATGGTATGTGCACACTGTCAGTTGCCCAAGTTCACCTGATTAAACTGTTTACATCCTCAGTCAGGTGACAAATTGCTCTCTTCCTCTCTCTTTCCAAGTCTGGGTAGTGCAGAGGTTCATCATGCTGACCCTGTCGGGTGACAAATGCCTCTCTCCCTCTCTGCCCCTCCTGGTCTGGGGAGGGCGAATATGTTCATCCTACTGACCCTGTCAGGTGACAAATTCCTCTCTCACCCCCTCACTCCTAGTCTGGGGAGGCCAAAGGTTCATCCTACTGACCCTGTCACGTGACAAATTCCTCTCTCACTCCCTCACTCCTAGTCTGGGGGACTACAAAGGTTCATCCAATAGACCTTTCCTCTCATCCAACTGACCCTGTCATGTGACGAATCCTGTCACTCCTAGTTTGTGAGGACGGCAAAAGTTCATCTCATCCCATCCCATCAGAATACCGTTCCTGTATTTGGTGGCTAACGGCTGCTTCAGTGCAACGAACGTTAAAATGTAATAATAAAAACCAAAAAATAAACTAAACATAGCTAATAATATGAAAAGGCAGTGACAACGTTGCCATCGTTCGCTTTAGCCGACGGTTCAACTTATTGGACTGTTTGTTAAATGCTGAGGTGACTGTTTACTAGTATATGAATGAAAAGGAAATGTATGAGTTTGAAATCTGGCTTATAAATCATCCCGTTGATTTTTCATACAGACCCTGAAACAAAAAGTATCCTATTGACCAAGCAAGTCTACAATACTTTGGGAAGTCTGTATTTTAACAGTTTCCATCTGAAAATAAAGAGATTATCTGGGCTCCGTTCTATTTTATGTTAAAAATTAATTCATAAAATATTTTAATTCCAGAAACTAAATGTCAGTCTAACATCCCGTCAGAGTTCTGAGCATCCTTTTTTATAACAAAATGCAACAAACCATAAACGCTAACCCTAATCCGAAAAACGTTGGACATACAAAAGGAAATATTTGTTCTAAGAATATGAATGAAAACTGCAACTGCCATGTTTACTGTGTAAGCGTGGTGCGTTTCGGGTCTTCGAATACTTCTGTGAAGTAAAAATACTAAAAGCAAACTAAACTAAAACAAACGAATGTGGAATGGTGGGAATTACAACCTTCAATACAGTAACATAACCACCTACCTGACATTGCTGAGGCCCTCTACCACTCACAGTTGAGCTCCAAATATTGAGTAAGTCTGACTTCAGTGATACAAACAGCAGCAATAGTGTGCAAGTGATAGGCATGTTATTCATAGCATATCCTTTTCCTATACATATGTATGTACCGTAAAGCTTGAACGGACGGGTCTATGTATTTCAGAGACGTCTTACGTCGTACACCCGTTATTCAAGGCGGTCGTCTATTCATTTTTAAGGGTAACGCTTGGTTTGCACTGTGTATGATA